TCACTTGAGGCCAGGAATTTGAGACCAGCCTGGTCAACATGGCGAAACCCCATCTCTCCTAAAAATTCAAAAATTGGCCAGGCGTGGTGGCTCATGCCTGTAATCCCAGCACTTTGGGAGGCCGAGGTGGGCAGATCATGAGGTCAGGAGATCAAGACCATCCTGGCCAACATGGTGAAACTCTGTCTCTACTAAAAATAAAAAAATAAAAAATAAAAAATTTATCTGGGCGTGGTGGCACACGCCTGTAGTCCCAGCTACTCGGGAAGCTGAAGCAGGAGAATCACTTGAACCCAGGAGGCGGAGGTTGCAGTGAGCCAAGATCGCACCACTGCACTTTAGCCTGATGACAGAGTGAGACCCCGTCTCAAAAAAAAAAAAAAAAAAAAATTAGCTGGGTGTGGTGGCAGGCACCTGTAATCCCAGGTACTTGGGAGGCTCAGGCTTGAGAATTGGTTGAACTCAGGAGGCAGAGGTTGCGATGAGCCGAGATCGTGCCATTGCCTGGGCAACAATAGTGAGACTCCATCTCAAAACAAAGCAAACAAACAAACAAACAAACAAAAAAAACAAACCTTAGCAGGGCATAGTGGTGTGTGCCTGTAATCTCAGCTACTCGGGAGACTGAGAATCACTGGAACCCGGGAGGCAGAAGTTGCAGTGAGCTGAGATTGTGCCACTGCACACTCCAGTCTGGGTGACAGAGCGAGTCTCTGTCTCAAGAAAAAAATAAAATAAAAGAAACTTGTTTCTTCTCCCTCATTAATGCCCACTTGGAGAACTAGGGAATCTGCCAGTGTTGTATGCTTAGGGTCTCAGCAGTGTGCAACTCTGGGCAACCAGAGCCCTGAGAACTTACCTGGATAATGCTCCAGTCTGGGAGGCAAACTTCCTTTGTGATCAGCTGATGTGTTTTAGGTAGGAAGGCGCCTGGGGAATTTATCTCCTCCTTTCCATGTGCTTCATGTGCATGTGAGGAGCCAGTAGACGCAGAAATAATTCAGAGGTGTCAGAGTCACCATCACATCTCTCATAGATTAGAAATAGATGATTTGTATACCTTACCTCTGACCTGCTCAAAATCTCCATAATGGAAGCATTGTTTCCTTAACTGAGCTAGGAGAAATTTGGAAACTCACCCACCTCTAGCCACTAAATGGGAGAGCTGAGAGTCAAATTCCTATCTGTCTGACTTGAGGCCTGTGCTCCCTCTGACAACCTGATGCACAGGTCAGCTAGAGCAGCTGTCCCTAACCTTTTTGGCACCAGGAACCAGTTTTGTGGAAGACAATTTTTCCACGGACCAGGGGTGGGGAGATGGTTTCAGGATGATTGAGGAATGAAGTGAATCACATTTATTTATTTATTTATATTTTTTGAGACGGAGTTTCACTCTTGTTGCCCAGGCTGGAGTGCAATGGCGTGATCTCGGCTCACTGCAGCCTCTGCCTCCTGCTCGGTTCAAGCGATTCTCCTGCCTCAGCCTTCCAAGTAGCTGGGATTACAGGCACCCACCACCACACGTGGTTAATTTTTGTATTTTTAGTAGAGATGGGATTTCACCATGTTGGCCAGGCTGCTCTTGAACTCCTGACCTCAGGTAATCTGCCCGCCTCCGCCTCCCAAAGTGCTGGGATTACAGGCTTGAGGCACCATGCCCAGCCTGCATCACATTTATTGTGCACTTTATTTCTATTATTATTATGTTGTAATATATAATGAAATGATTATACAACTCACCATAATGTACACTCAGAGGGAGCCCTGAGCTTGTTTTCCTGCAACTAGTTGGTCCCATCTGGGGGTGATGGGAGACAGTGACAGATCATCAGACATTAGATTCTCATAAGCAGTGTGCAACCTACATCCCTTGCACGTGCGGTTCACAATAGGGTTCATGCTCCTATGAGAATCTAATGCCGCCACTGATCTGAAAGGAGGTGGGTGGCGCTCAGGCAGTAATGCCAGCGATGAGGAGCAGCTATAAATACAGATGAAGCTTCGCTCACTTGCCCGCCACTCATCTCCTGCTGTGCAACCTGGTTCCTAATAGGCACCTGGGGGACAGGGACCCCTGAGCTAGAAAAAGGGGAAAGAAGGCCGAGTGCAGTGGCACATGCTTGTAATTCCAACCTTTGGGAGGCTAAGGTAAGAGAATTGCTTGAGCCCAGGATTTTGAGACCAGCCTGGGCAACATAGTAAGACTCTGTCCCTAATTTGTGTGTGTGTTTGGTTTTTTCCTTTTTTTTTTTTTGAGATGGAGTTTCGCTCTTGTTGCCCAGGCTGGAGTGCAATGGCGTGATCTCCGCTCACGGCAACCTCCACCTCCCCGGTTCAAGCAATTCTCCTGCCTCAGCCTCCCAAGTAGTTGGGATTACAGGCATGTGCTACCACGCCCAGCTAATTTTGTATTTTTAGTAGAAACAGGGTTTCTCCATGTTGGTCAGGCTGGGCTTGAACTCCCGATCTCAGGTGATCTGCCCGCTTCAGCCTGCCAAAGTGCTGGGATTACAGGTGTAAGCCACCATGCCCAGCCTCCCTCTCTAATTTGTAAGAAATTGAAAAAAAAAAAATGGGGGAAAGAGAAGGGAGCAGCAGAGGGGGTGGGTAAACGAGACTATGCCAGCTTTTCACCCCTGGCCTCCCCAGCTCTCAGTGGAACTAAGTGTGTGTATCTGTGTTTTGAGATAGGGTCTCACTGTGTTGCCCAAGCTGGAGTGTAGTGGTGCTATCTCAGCTCACGGTAGCCTTGACCCACAAGCTCAAGTGATCCTCCTGCCTCAGCCTCCCCAGTAGCTGGGACTACAGGCTCACACATCACATCTGGCTAATTTTTGTATTTTTTCTAGAGATGGTGTTTCACCATGTTGCCCAGGCTCATCTTGAACTCCTGGCCTCAAGCGATCCACCTGCCTTGGCCTCCCAAAGTGCCGGAATTATAGGCATGAGCCACCACTCCCAGCCTAAATGTGCTTTTCATTCCTTCCAAGTCAGAGGTGCTGAAGTCACATCATGTTGCTGGCATGTAAATAGTTCTCTAAAAGCAGTGGAAATCCCTGGAGACCTGTTCACAGGAGCTGCCAAAATAGGACGGTGGCATTTCAGGGTCATAGGCTTCCTTTCAACCAGTGCCCCAGGCCCCAAAGTGTTGTGCTGGGGCGCAGCTCCTATTACCCAACAGGGCCACAATTTTCCACCATCCTCTTCCTCTGGTTTCTGGCCCAGTGCTCTTCAATTTTAGGGAATGTGGTGATACTGCTGCTGCCCCTTGAGTCAGTATCTTGGATAGGCTCAGAACCTCTCTCTGGCTGGCACTGTAGGCCAGGATACTGATACAGTCCGCAAGAGCAGGGACTATATCTGTTTAGTGCCTTACCTTGCATAATGCCTGGCACAAGTGGGTGCTTACTCAGTACCTCTGAATGAATGACTGCAAGCTAAGACTATGTAGAAGCGAAAAAGGCAGAAACTTCTAAAAAACAAACCAGAGTTACAGACACCAGGCACCAGTGAAAGCCCACCTTGGCGCTTTGAAGAAACATATTCCAAAAAAAGAATATGTTTTAAAATTAAACATATTTTTAAAAAACTTTAAAAACATATTTTTAAAAGACTTAAAAAAAGAAGTCTTAAGTAACTTTAAAGTAGCTTCAAATATACATGAGGAACAAACTCATGGTATGTGAGAGTAGTTTAGAACATTGAGTGCTTTATGACACCCTTGGATTGCTTTTAATGATTCTTGGGAAACAAGAAACGGTGGCTGGAGGACCAGCAGTATTTATTTAGCAGACAAATCATCTCTACCTTTGGGAAAATTGCTTTTGGAGTCTGCCCTAGTCGAAGCCACTTAGTAAACTTAAATGGTGAACTGCAGGATATAAAGGTCTGGGTGGAGGGCGCTGGGAAGCACGTTGCCTGCCAAATAACTGGAAAAGGCAGGTTGGAAGAGAAAATCATTCCCATTATGGGGCCAGCGTTGTACTTCCCACAGAGTTTCGACCTCCTTTCTCTGCTCTTACCTTTAAGAAATCCCTGCCGTCCTCCTTTCTTCAAAATGGCTTATTCTATTTATCCCAGTAATGTCAGGTACTTGGGGGTTGAGAAATAGCATATCCTCAGCTTGGCCAGATGAAAGGCCACTCTAGATAGAGAGCCATACATTTATTATTATTATTATTATTATTATTATTTATTTTTAGAGGTAGGGTCTGCCTCTGTTATCTAGGCTGGAGTGCAGTGGTGTTATTAGAGCTTACTGTAGCCTTCAGCTTCTGGGCTCAAGAGATTCTCCTGCCTCAGCCTCCTGAATAGCTGGAACTACAGGCATGCACTACCAAGCCCAACTTATTTTTTAATTTTTTGCAGAGATGGGGTCTCAGGGTCTCACTTTGTTGCCCAGGCTGGTCCCTAACTCCTGGGCTCAAGCAATCATCTTTCTTTTCGGCCTCCCAAAGCATGAGGATTATAGGCGTGAGCCACCACGCCCAGCCCATAAATTATTCTAATTTTTAATATGAAGTACTTTCTTAATAGTGTGCTTGCGCTTGTTGTAGGTATTGATTCTTTTATGAGGCTTGAATTCTGTACCCTTTTCTCAATCCCATGAGTTCCTGTTTCTGTTGCCTTTAGTATTCTTATTGTAGCATAATTGCATTAAAAAAAATCCAAGTCCAAAACTTGACAGTGTATGACCTATCTCTTTCCAGGAAAAGAAAAAAAAAAAAAATCCCATGTAACTGATAACTTGAGACTGTATGGAAACATAACTCATTCCTTTATTTTATTTTATTTTATTTTATTTTTTGAGATGGAGTCTCACTCTGTTGCCCTGGCTGGATGCAGTGGTGGATCTCAGCTCACTGCAACCTCCACCTCCCAGGTTCAAGCGATTCTCCTGCCTCAGCCTCCCGAGTAGCTGGGACTACAGACGTATGCTACCACACCCGGCTAATTTTTGTATTTTTAGTAGAAATGGGGTTTCACCATGTTGCCCAGGCTGGTTTCGAACTCCTGACCTCAAGTGATCCACCCGCCTTGACCTCCCAAAATGCTGGGATTACAGGCATGAGCTACTGCACCTGGCCATCACTCATTCCTTTATAATAACCGAGTGCAGGATAATAACAAATAATAGGATTATAATGAAATTGTAGCAGGTACGCTATTAGAATTTTGAAACAACTAAAGGAATAGAAGATTACTGTTCAGGAAGACCATCTGTTTCAAACATTAGTGATCTTCATGAGCTTTGGGCAGGTTTCTTTGAATTTAGCTTTTTGTATGAAGTGCCTTGGCTAGTATGTATGTGGTTCAGGATCCACCACAGAAGGATACCCAGAAAGCATTCTATTATGAGAGCTAGGCTAGTATTACTGGGGCAAACAGAAAGCCAGTCTAGTTTCCTATGGTCATGATCGGCAGAGCTACAAGCCCCTAATATAAATTATGTCTAGAAGGCATTCATTTTAATATAAAAGAATAATTGTGTTATAGATGAAGGATTGAAGAGTCACTCACCAAAATTCCACTTCCCAAATTAAATCATTTTAGTGTATTTTTGGTTATTCTGGTTTATAAATGTCTAAAAACAATTATACAAGTGACAAATGACTATTTCCCATTATAAAAAGCATGTAGAGTCTGGGTAGCTCGGGGTTTCGATCTCCTGCCTCTGACAACGCCGTGATCTCCTCTCCCCTCCAATCCTATCGGCGATGGACAATGCCTGCGAGTCATCTACGGACAAAGGTGGAGAGACAGGGGAGCCAGATGAGACAGCCGCTGCTCCCGGGGACACGGGGGCTACCGACGTGGGTGGAATCCCAGAGGAAACTGATGGAGACGCAGATGCGGACTTGAAAGAAGCTGCAGTGGAGGAAAGCGAGCTCAAGAGTCAGGATGTCTCAAATTTAACAACAGTTGAAAGGGAAAACTCATTGTTATTTACTCCTGCAGCCAAAAAACTGAAAATAGATACCAAAGAAAAGAAAGTAGATGAAGATGAGATTCAGAAGATGCAAATCCTGGTTTCTTCTTTTTCTTTTTCTCTCTGTTGTTTTTTTTTTTTTTTTGAGACGTAGTCTCTCTCTGTCGCCCAGGCTAGAGTGCAGTGACATAATCTCGGCTCACTGCAACCTCTGCCTGCCGGGTTCAAGCGATTCTCCTGCTTCAGCCTCCTGAGTAGCTGGGATTACAGGCGCATGCCACCACGCCCGGCCAATTTTTGTATTTTTAGTAGAGATGGGGTTTCACCATATTGGCCAGGCTGGCCTTGAACTCCTGACCTCATGATCTACCCGCCTCGGCCTCCCAAAGTGCAGGGATTGCAGGCATGAGCCACTGTGCCCAGCGGTTTCTTCTTTTTCTGTGGAGCAGCTGAACCATTATGAAATGTATTGCCACTCAGCGTTCCCTAAGGCAGCCATCAAAAGGCTGATCCAGTCCATCAGTGGCACCTCTATGTCTCAGAATGTTGTTATTGCTGTGTCTGATCTTTCCAAGGTTTTTGTCTGGGAGGTGGTAGAAGCAGCACTGAATGTGTGTCAGAAGTGGGAAGAAATGCCACCACTACAACCCAAACATATGAGGGAAGCTGTTAGAAAGTTAAAATCAAAAGGACAGATTCCTAACTCAAAGCATAAAAAAAATCATCTTCTTCTAGATTGAAGTCTAGAAAGGCCTATTACTGACAGAAGAAGTATTGGTTCCAGACTTCCTCTAAGACCGTCTGCACTGGTGCTTTAGTGTCTCAGTCCTCCAAGGATTCCATGATGATTTTAATGTCTTTCTCAAAACTCTGAGATTTGTCACACCTAGTAAGTGTGTAGCCTGTTTGATACTTGCCTTGACTAAATTTTTGGACCTCTTGGGGCATTTTGAAGTTTTTAACTGTCTTGGCCAGTTGGAAGAAGATGTGTGGGCTGTAAGCATCTTCTGGACAGGGGAACTGCTTTCAGAGAGAAAACAATTCCAAGAGAGTTTTTTTTTTTTTTGGAGATAGGGTCTTGCTCTGTCACCCAGGCTGGAGTGCAGCGGCATGACCGCAGCCTTGAACTCTTGACCCTCCCACCTCAGTGTCCTGAGTAGCTAGGACTACAGGCACACTACTGTGCCCAACTAACTTATTTTTATTTTTTATGGAGATGGGGTCTTGCTTTGTTGCCCAGGCTGGTCATGAACTCCTGGCTTCAAGCAGTCCTCCTGCCTCAGCCTCCTAAAGTGCCGAGAGCTTTCGTGATTTTTTTTTTTTTTTTTTTTTTTTTTGAGACGGAGTCTGGCTCTGTCGCCCAGGCTGGAGTGCAGTGGCCGGATCTCAGCTCACTGCAAGCTCCGCCTCCCGGGTTTACGCCATTCTCCTGCCTCAGCCTCCGGAGTAGCTGGGACTACAGGCGCCCGCCACCTCGCCCGGCTAGTTTTTTGTATTTTTAGTAGAGATGGGGTTTCACCGTGTTCGCCAGGATGGTCTCGATCTCCTGACCTCGTGATCCGCCCGTCTCGGCCTCCCAAAGTGCTGGAATTACAGGCTTGAGCCACCGCGCCCGGCCAGCTTTCGTGATTTTACATTGAAGCCTAAAGTTGCTAAGACTTAGGTTGTTTCTTATATCTGGTTTTAAGTAGATGAAACAACCGGAAACTTTTACTTGTGATACTCTATGAAACAGCCAGAAACTTTTACTTGTAACACTCTACCATGAAGGATGCGGTGCTGACAGGAATAGTGGAATAATTGCTGCTTGTAAACATCTAAGATTCTCCTGTGAATTTTGGTGAGTGATCGTTAAACTGTTTTCCAAAAGCATATACAGGCCAAGCGCAGTGGCTCATGCCTATAATCCCAGCACTTTGGGAGGCCGAGGCGGGAGAATCGCTTGATCTCAGGAGTTCAAGACCAGCCTGGGCAATATACTGAGACCTTGTCTCTATTTTTGTAAAGTAGTTTTAATTTTTATTTATAAAATAAAATAAAAAGCATATATAGGCCATGTATGGTGGCTCACACCTGTAATCTGAACACTTTGCGAGGACGAGTTAGGAGGATTGCTTGAGCCCAGGAGTTTGAGACCAGCTTGGGCAACATAGTGAGACCCTGTCTCTGTATTTTTAGAAAAATATTTTTTTTTTTTTTTTAAAAGTATATCCAGGCATGGTGGCTCATGCCTGTAATCCTAGCACTTTGGGATGCCAAGGTGGGCGGATCACTTGAGCTCAGGAGTTTAAGACAAGCCTGAGCAATGTGGTAAGACCCTGTCTCTACTAAAAATACCAGGCATGGTGGTGAACGCCTGTAGTCCCAGCTACTCTTGGGCTGAGGAGGGAGGACTGTTTGATCCTGGGGAGCGGAGGTTGCAGTGAGCTGAAATTGCGCCATTGCACTCTAGCCTGAGTGACAGAGCAAGACTGTCTCAAAAAGAAAAAAAAAAAAGAATATAGAACAAAATGTGAAAGTTTTCTCCCTTTCCAGAGAAACACTGTTGATTGCTTGGAGTATAGCCAAATTGTGTTTACACCCATATATATATACATACACATACTGCGTATAAATATGAATTGGGTCATGGCATAACTACTATTCTGCAACTTTCTTTTGATGCATAACAGTATATGTTAGAACTCTTTCCATATAGTGCATAGAAATCTACCTTGCCCTTTTTAAATGGCTGCAGAATATTCCACAGACTCAATGTATAACAATTTATTTGATACTTCCCTGCTGATGGATTTTTAATGTGTCTGTAGTTACCCATTATCACCAAGCTTCAGGGAATATCCCTATAAATGCATCTTTCGACACAGGAGCATAATATGTGACTACTTTTCTAGGTTACTCTAAAAGGAGAATTGCTGGGCCAATCAGGATGTGTTTGCTAACACTAGTTATAATCAACCTTTAAAATTTTTGCCAATCTGACAGATGAAAAATATTTCATTATTTAAATTATCTGTTATCTTTACTTTTAAAAAATGTAGCTTTCGGCTGGGTGTGGTGGCTCATGCCTGTAATCCCAGCACTTTGGGATGCCACGGTGGGTAGATCACTTGAGGTCAGGAGTTCAAGACCAGCCTGGCCAACAAGGTGAAACTCCATCTCTAGTAAAAATACAAAAATTAGCCAGGCAGGATGGCAGGCGCCTGTAATTCCAGCTACTCGGAAGGCTGAGGCATGAGAATCGCTTGAACCCAGGAGGCAGAGGTTGCAGTAAGCCGAGATATTGCCACTGTATTCCAGCCTGCACGATATAGTGAGACTCGGTCTCAAAAAAAACCCAAACAAACAAAATAATGCAGTTTTCTGACTGGGCACAGTGGCTCACGCCTGTAATCCCGGCACTTTGGGAGGCTGAGGCAGGTGGATCACCTAAGGTCAGGAGTTTGAGACCAGTATGGCCCACATGGCAAAACCCCATCTCTACTGAAAATACAAAAATTAGCTGGGCGTGGTGGTGCACATCTACAGTCCCAGTTATTCGGGATGCTGAGGCAGGAGAATCGCCTGAATCCGTGAGGTAGAGATTGCAGTGAGCTGTGATCGCACCATTGCACTCCAGCCTGGGCAACAAAGGGAGATTCTGTCTCAAAAAAAAAAAAAAAGTAGTTTTCTGGTCTTGCTTTTCCTACTTTTATTCCGTAAGTATTTTTCTATATATTAACTAACAGTGAAATGGAAATGATTGTAACCAAATATATATTTGTACATAACATGATATAATCTGTGCATTTGTGCGTTTCGCTTTTCTACATCTTTGGTTACTTCTTTAGGCTAAATGCCAAGTAGTTATAAATCAAAGTCATTTTATGAGATCTAATATTTATTTAGGTTTTCTCAAGTTTCTTTACTAATGGTTAATCAACATCCCAAGTTCCATGCCATGTACTTTAAATTTTTGTGCCTCTGGTGACTATTCACCAGTATCTCTGTGTTCAACCTTTGTGTGTGTGTGTGTGTTCTTTTTTGAGGTAGAGTCTTGCACTGTCACCTAGGCTGGAGTGCACTGGCACAATCATAATCATGACTCACTGCAGCCTTGTCCTCCTGGGCTCAAGTGGTCCTCCCACCTCAGCCTCCTGAGTAGCTGGGACCACAGGTGTGCACCACCACACCCAGCTAATTTTTTTTTGTAGGGACGTGGTCTCGCTTGTTGTCCAGGCTGATCTCGCATTCATGGGCTTAAGCAGTCCAACTGCCTCAGCTCCCAAAATGCTGGAATTACAAGTGTGAACTACCAGGCCTGGCCCATCTTGGGTGTTTATCCATGTATTCTGCAGTACTTTCCCCAGAAGTCCTCTTAGACAGCTGCTCAGATGGGCTGATTGTCCTTTCTCTGTCTGCTTTCCTTGAGAAAATGCTGATGAATAAACTTCTCTCCCTCATCACAGAAGGAAAATAATGTTCTTATCCTTTTTTAACAAAGAAAGTAACTAGAATTTAGTGTACTGTGACTTAGAACCCAAGGAAGCCTCCTCTCTTGATGCTTAGTGTGCATTTCTTGCAGATTTGTTTGATGGTTTGAATTCAATATTGTTAAAGTCTGTCTTTTTTTTTTTTCCCCAGGTGAATGTTGGATGTGTACCCAAAAAGGTAGAATTTTTATTTCTCTTTCCCTTTACAATCCTTTTTCTATTTGTAAATCATAATCCGAATAAGAATGTTTCCAAATGTATCCATTAAAATTCATTCTGCCAAAAAAACCCTAGACCCCACTAAAAGTGGCTTAAGCAATAGGATTGTTTTTGTTTGATTTGTGTTTAAAATTTTTTGTTTATTTTTAATTACTTTTTATTTTTATTATTATTATTTTTTTGAGACGGAGTTTCACTCTTGTCGCCCAGGCTGGAGTACAGTGGCGCGACCTCAGCTCACGGCAACCTCTGCCTCCTGGGTTCAAGTGATTCTCTTTCCTCAGCCTCACAAGTAGCTGGGATGATAGGCGCGCGCCACAGCACTCAGCTGATTTTTGTATTTTTAGTAGAGATGGGGTTTCACCATGTTGGCCAGGCTGATCTCGAGCTCCTGACTTCAAGTGATCCACCCACCGTGGGCTCCCAAAACGCTGGGATTACAGGCCTGAGCCACCAAGACCGGCCACGGTCTAGTAATTTAGTTTGGTCATCTACACCGCAGGATAGTTTTTTCTCAGCAGGAAGACCCAGCCAGCAAACCAAACTGTTGAATGGAATCTTCTTACGTGGATTCATGGATTTTCTGTATCATGTTGGTGATTTTTTTGGTATTAATATCTGTGGTGCAGGTCACATTGAATGATTTCATTTTTTTACCCTTGACAAAGAGGAAAAAACAGCAGCTCTTATTTCTAAAGCTGCCTCTTGCTTATACTTGCAATGAATGCCACTCATTTGAATGAACTTTCAACATATGTTGTAATCGCAAGCTTACCACCTTTATTAATGGCATTCCATTTTAACTTGTCATCTTTTTGGTATTATGTAAGCAAATCTCTTAATCTCATCAGTGATGCATACCTGAGTTTAATTCCAAAAAGCTTTTTTGAAATCTGTTGCCTGGTATAGGTGATGTTTTTCTGTCTGTCTTAGGAAGACTTTTTTTCTCTGGTACGTTTTCCCTCAACTGTTTCCTTTCCTATTAGTCATACTTTTTGGAATCTGTTCTACTTGGAACCATGCAATTATGACTGTATGAATTATATAAATTCATTATAAGGTGGTTTTATGTAGTTTAAACCAGTTATGGTAGTAAATTTCGTGTTGATTGGTGCAAGTTTATTTTTTAAAAAATATATTGCTGGGCTAATACTGTACAGTAAACTGATTTTGTAATGTTTTATTCTTATATTTACTTATTCCTTCTGATCATATGTGGTAGACATTTATGTATGTTCATTTATATATGTTTTTGTTTCTTTTTGTTTGTTTATTTATTTATTTATTTTTTTTGAGATGGAGTCTCACTGTTGCCCGGAATGCAGTGATGTGATTTCAGCTCACTGCAACCTCCACCTCCCAGGTTCAAGTGATTCTCCTGCCTCAGCCTCACGAGTAGCTGGGACTACAGGCGCGCACCACCATGCCTGGCTAATTT